CACATTTGTGCTTATTCAACACCCACAGAGCCCACCTGTGGTTTATAGTTTAATTATGCTGAGTAGACCTTAGTTACAGTTTCTTGGAGAGAGAGTACATAATCTGGCATGATCAACAGTTTAAACAAGGCCAGTTTGATCAAACCCTCAGTCAACCTTAGACTTCATGTAAGCACAATCATTCCAGTGAGTTCTGTCAAAACTATTTCACTCAAAAGACTTGGGTCAACCTATGATATGGTTTTCAGGCACTTTTTGAAGAAATCACCTCCCATGGTCAGATTCAAACCTGGTTCTGATTTGTTGGAAAGTAAACCACTCAGCCATGCCCCTACATTGATTTTATATATATATATATATATATATATATATATATATTCCAAAAGGTGACATTTCAACATATCCTATCTGATTCATGTATGGGTTGTAAATTTTAAATGTTTTTATGTTAAGTGAAAATGGAGAAAAATTTGATGTGCTTTTACTTTTGGAAAGGAAAAAACTCCTTACAAAGAGTAAAAAAGATATGCGCCATTTATGGAATGGTGACATAGCTGATAGTAGTGCTTGTAAAGTGTTCACTAGGTTCATAAGTAGATATTTTGATCTGAAAAACTGAGAACATTCTGGCACTGCTGATCACCAAATTGAAGTGCTGCTTTAAATCCAGGTCATATGATACTAGACTTTGCAGAGATACTGCATATACTTCATATAAGACTTGTAAAGAATGGTCATAGGTAATGAAAAATGGATTTTTTTACAACAATGTGGAGTAAAGAAAGTGTCTGATGAAAATGAAATAAGCTACCATTAACCACTCCAAAATCTAGTCTGTATTTAAAGAATGTGATGCTATATATCTGATGGGATTGGAAAGGCATTGGGTATTACAAGCCCTGACCACAAAATCAGATGTTAAATTCAGACAAGTATGGTTTTCAAATGAACTGATTAAAGGAAGCAATTGATGAAAGGTGTTCAGAATTTGATAGTTGGAAGGGAGTAGTTTTTTATCAGGATAACACCAGACCTCATAACTCTTTACAAACCTGGCAGAAATTGGTACAACTGTTCTACTGCACTCGTCATACTCACCTGATCTCATACTGTACGATTACCACTTATTTTGATCCCTACAAAATTCTCTTAATGTAAAGAACTTTAATTCTTTGGAAACCTGTAAAAATCACTTAGTTCATTACCAAGTTCTGGGGGGGATGGAATCATGATGCTGCCTTAAAGATAGCAAAGGGTAATGGGATAGAATGCCATATATGTGTGAAAAGTGATGAAATCTATGTACAAATATATAAATATTGTCATTAAAATTCAATTTAAAAAATACTACTACTTTTTTCTCTAATCCAATATATGCAGTTTGTATTATTCCTCGTATTTAAATATCTTACTGTGTCTATTGTTCTCTTTCTATCAATTGATGACATTGTTTCTTTTGTATTTTATTTTCTTCATTGTGGTAGTTTTTGGCATAGTAAAATTGCTGACTTTACTTATTAAAATGAAATGTGAACTAATAAAATTAGCTTTTTAAGGAACTGAAATTTTTTGCTTAGAGAGTTGCGTGTATGCCTTCTGTTCTATCTCACACTTTCTTCTTTTAAGTCAAAAGGAACCTCATCAACCTAGTATTTGGAGCAAAAATTGATACCTCTCAACTTGCTCAGTCTCAACTTTCCCATTGAACAATTAATAATTTTTTTATAGTGTGAGGGCAAGTGGAAGAATTTGATAATGATAGTGTCTTTGTTATTACAATAACAGTTACAGTAATTTACTATGCTGATAATTGCTGTTGTAATGTGATGCAGGCTGCAATGTCTAGAACCTTTCATTATTGAATGTGTACTAAAAAAAAAAAAAAACGAAAGTTGAAACCAATTTTTCTGCCATTACATTTAATTGGCAGATTAATCAGACATAATAGAGACACTCTTATTAAGACTGTACACTCATCTCCAAAATAAGTTAGTTTATGGGTAAAAGCATAGATAGAACAAAAATTGATGCATATATTTATTTCCTATAAAGCATACAATTCAGGCTTGAGGCATTTTTGTATGATGTGAGAATTTTTATTTAGATAGAAATGTCATCTCTATGTAGATAGATTAAAAGATAGAAACTAAATATGTGATCCTTAATTTTTAAAAACTTCATAAACGTTGAATATTCAAAATCATTTGACATGTTGTAGGGAAACATTTTATTCTTTCAGCTGTATTTTATATTGTTCATTTTGATTTTCAGTCAATAGTTCCAGGTTTTGTTTTAATAGTTTTGCATCTCCATATAAAAGTTTATTTCTCATTACAATCCTGATTCCAATTTTTTGTTCTGTCATCAATCTTTTTACATGACTTTGCTCTTGAGTAAATGAAGTGATTCAATGAAGTTAGGTTGTTAATTTCACTCTTCTGATATAATTTGTTTCAATTTTGATATAATCCATTTTCTTCTTTCTCAGGATTTGGTAGTGACTGTCTTTTGTTATTAATTTATTGATTTAATTCCTTCTGGATCTAGTTGGAGAGATTGTATGTTTCTGCCACTTTCATCACAATTGCTTTTATTTCTTTGATAAAAACTTCTCTGCTTAGATAAGAAAGCTAACCTCTTTATCTGTTTTTCTTCTGGTTTCTTATATTACTTTCTTGTTCCCTTCATAACAAAAAAGAAGTTTTCTCTACTCTTTCTGTTTAGTCAACAGTGATATTACAAGATAATCCTTTCTTGAAGCCATCAAGGGAAGATCCTGCAACAACAACAAAAGCAAGGTTTTTTCCTACCATGAGGATACTTGCTCATTATGACATTCAAATCTGTAATCGGGGGCCTTAAATTTAACTGATATGTTATTATTTATTGTTATCATGAGTTTTAGGTCAAACTAAACACAGAATAATATTACCTGTTATCCTATCGCAAAGATAGAGCATTTCTGCCTAAGGTTTGTTTGCCTGTAAAAAATGGGCATGTTATCAAACCACGATGTCTCCATTATCATTCATTTGCAATAGAGAATAAAAATGAGGTAGGCTTAGTTTTACTTAAATATATTAAAAGGTTTTCAGCTTAAAATTACAATAATAAATGGACCTGAATAGGTTTTCTGATCAACAGCAGAGAAAGCTTTTTTTTTTTCACTAGCATTACTTTTTGGAAATATTTTTATTGTAGCTATGTCATTTAACAAAATAAAAACCTGTTGCTAGACAATCAACCATATATTGCCTATCAATTTTTTTTCATCTTGTTTTTTTTTCTTCTGCAAATTTGTAAAATTTCAGTTGTTCAAATAGGATTAAAAATAAACTCTTAAGAATCTTTGCCTTTTAGCAATGATTTATTTTAACATATCCTCATATCTCCCCTCAGATATTTATAGTAGGGGAGGCAAGGCTCTGTATGCTTTGGTGGCAACCAGTCTAGGAGAAGGAAAACTTGGAATTCCAAACTGAATAAAGCAACCACTCCACTATCTTTCCCAAGAAGTCTTGGTAATTCATAGGAAAGGAATCTGTGGAGAGGCATGATGTCCTGAATAAACATGGAATTTTTAAAGAAAGATTAATTTATTCTACAAATATTTAAAAGAAAAATTAATAGAAAGTTGGACAATAAATAGGTACAAGTAAAAAGAAAAATTTCTGGACAAATATCATTATTCCACAAATGAGTACGAAAAAAATTCAATGAAATAATTAGTGTTGCTTGTTTTTGTGCTGGATGAAAAAACAAACAAAATACAGAAAGAACATGATATTGGCATAATATTTTTGGCAGCTGTGTATAATTATCAAATTAATTAACTTTATTTTTTACATATTTTTTTTTAAAATCTAAATTTTCTCTGATATTACTTATTTTAAATTTTATGTCTAATAATCAGTGTTTGGTTTCTCTAGAAAAAAAAAGATATGTAGCCAGGCCCATTTTTGTGAAAAAGCTTCCCACCACCACCACATAACACAGGTCCGTTTCTGATAGATAGAGATGACAATCCACAAAAATTCTTGCTTGTTTCTGCATGACATCGTTTCTTTTTGAGTTCTGCATTACTAGCTGTCAAAATTTCATTATTTTGTTGTGGAAGACCATTATTATGCAGATTGTGAATTACAGGTGGTATTAGGAATGATCTGTGGACATTCCTAAGTGGTCAGTCACACGTAGATGATTTGGTTACCTGCTTGCTGATGATCTGACCAACTGTTACCGATTTTATTTACACCTTATTCCACCCTGACCACAACCAGACCAAATGGGTGTTATTTTGAACTCACTGATATAAAAAACTTGTCACTGTTACTACTTATTATTCACTGATTGGGAGTTATGAATGAACAATTGTAGCAACAATAGAGAAACACTCAGTGCAGTGGTCGATTATTGTGTACGCTCTTTCTTTCGACTTGATGCATTTTTAACAAGGAAATAAACAAAACAACTGATGATTCAATAAGACAAGAATGACAAGGAGTTCACGACTGCAATATATTTCTTTTTTTATCGTTTAGTTACTAGTTAAAATCCTAGTATTTTTAAATCGGATTTTGGTGGGAAAAGAAAATTTATTTTATAAAATAAATTTTCTTTTGTTAGTGGGTAAAATTTTTTACTAAACTACTTAATTGGCAATTTTTTTTTTTTTTTACCTAAACTAAACAGTATTATTTCTTCTTGTGGTGTTGCTTCTGTTAGAGTGTTATGAAACAGCCAACAAGCTAAAAAGATTAAAGAAAGAATATAATAATCGTGACTCTTCTTACCTGTGAAAAAGTAAAGAAATAAGAAAATTAAGAAGTGCTATGATGACAATGAAATCATAACAAAATGAAAGTGTGGCACTAAACTGAAGGCGGAGAAGCCCATCCTTTGAATGTAGTTTATTTTTCATTAACTTTTTTTTGGCTCATTTAAAAATTTGACTGTATTACTTTGGGAAAAACTTAATGTGCTTTCCTCCTTAATTTTAAATGTCAACAATAACAAACAATGGATTATCTTCGCAATTGGATCTACAGACATCGTCCGATATTTATGTGGACGGCGATCTTAGAAGAACAACATCGAAAAACAAAGTTAAAAGGAATCCGTCCTTATGGAAAAAGCTACTAGTAAGGTAAGATCCACGTGTTAGTTTTTATTTTAAAACAAATTCATTTGTCCTGAAAAGTAATGAAACATTTCCACACTACAGACTGAATTTCAAGTGCTTTCTTAATTAATAATCTCCATATTTTGGGCAATCCGCAATAATAATGGTAAAAAATAAAAATGTTTTTTTGTTTACTTTATGTTGAATCGTTTCATTTTAAATGATTTTTTTTTAAAGTTATTAACTTTTTCTTTATGCGAGTTTATTATTTTTATGCCCCACTGATCGGAGCTACACACACACACACACATTCTCATTCTTTGAATTCGAAATTTATTTTCCTCGCTTCACTATGGTAGTTTAATTTTGTGGAAGATTTTTGATTTTTAAATTAAAAGGCTGAACTTTCTTTAATAATTAATATTTGACCTCCTCAGTAAGGAAGATGTGCCAGCTTATTTCAATTTGACATATTTCTTTTCAATGTTTTGATATCTCGATTTTGTTTTAACCTACTTCAACTTCATGAAATTAAGGATTGTCACATTCTTTCAAATAGTGTGTATGTGTGCACGTATCATTTATGGGGTTTTAAATTATTTGAATACACGGTCTAAGAATCTTCGTACGTAACATTTTGTATTTGACTTCAAGTTCTTATAAACCTCAATACCACGAATTAAATTAAATAAAAGCGTTACTTAAATGATATCCTCATAATTTATTTCGCTGCTTTTCTTTTTATGTTTGCTGTTTTAACTGAACACATGGGTACATTTTTCTGATTGTCTCTGTTGTCAATTTGAAAGTCTCCATAATTTTTAAGAATTCGTGAAAACGAGAATTCATCGAAAAGGTTGATAAAAAACGGTTACCGTTATGTTTAGTAACTCACAGTTCAGTCCTGGCCGCTGTAGTGGTCGTTAGCGGTTAGTTTGAGGTTTCACCACCGGCATGCCATACATTGTTAAAGAGTTCCTTTTTTGCCAATGCTTGTGTTATTTCGCCGCCGGATTGCCACAAGATGGTAAGGGAAACAGTCTTCCTTCTTGCATGCGACAAGTTGGCATTTTTGAGTCGTAATGACTTGATCTTTTCTGGCCGGCATTTTTGAGTCTGGCTGGTTTTCTATTGAAAATTATTATTATTATTTTAAATTTTACTGTAAGTCAGTTGTAATTGGTTAAAAATCGTTTTATATCACGTGATTTGTTTTCAACTCTGTGCATACCAATTTCCATTTTTTGTGTAGCTTTCTGAATTCTGTTATCTTGGGACCAGCAAAAAAAGGGATGCATTTTTTCCTAAAATGAAAGCAAAAATTGCTACACTCTGTTTTGAATAGGCACGTCCGCTTTTCGCTAAAAAAAACAAAAACAGAGCAGCATGATGAAAAAAAGTCCAAAAACTTAATAAAAACAAAGTTTTATCGTCAAACAAAATGTTAATTATCAAGAGGAAAAACCAAAGTATTTTTTTTTAAATTATTTTTAAATATTTTTTAAAACCTTTCTACCAGTAACACGTTCGAAATTTTCGTTAAAAATCCTGTTTTTTTTTTTTTTTTTTTTTTTTTTACGTCTTTGACGTAAGTAATTTTTACAATGGACTGTTTTGCATTTTTTTCCGGTGAAAAACATTGATTTGGAAATTCTTGCAAAAATCAAATAATTGTCGGATTTTGAAACTTTCAGAATTTATTCACAAATGAATCGTTTTTTTAAATTTCTTGTTTTAGAAAATCTTGGTACTAAAAAATATCTGTTTACACCCCCACTTACTTAATTTCATGAAATTTCGAGAAATTATCGTATTTCCAAACTTTATTTTATTTTTAAAAGTAGGACTCATGGAGGAGAATGTATTGTATTGTAAATCATCCTATTTTTTTTCCAAATTTTTGCTCATAAAATCTGTTCCGAATGGTAAACTAAAAAAATGTAATAAAATTATGACATTTAATTAGAAAACCTTTTAATTACTTTTGCAAATAAGTTAGGACATTATTACTCAACTGCCTTCCAAAAAAATTTTCGATGAATAATGAATTTTTACAAGAATTTTTTTGATTTTTTTTTTTTTTAAATTTTAATTATAATAATTTAGCAAAATTTAAAATCCCCCACACAATGACTATTTCTTTTAGGTGATATTGTAAAAAGTAGTAAAAATGGTAAATTTGCTTTTTAACACCCGCGCTAAATATCTCTTAAAATTTTCCCAAATCGTCATAATTCCGTGTATGTACATGCTGAACTTGAAGAAACCTACCGTTTTGGAGTTATCGACAAGAAAAAAATCAGACTTCTTGTTGGTCCCCTTTTAAAATATTATATGATTATTGATTCACTGCATAGTATTTCCGCTGGCGTAATCAGAAAATTTGGCCTATTTATACTTCTTTTACAGATTTTCATTGCAGAAAATGACTATGCACTATCCTAAAGAAATGTAATTTTTTTTTTTTTGGTAAGTGTAGTTTTATTTATAACAAAAACAAATTAAATAATACAATAGAACCTTTTTTCTGTGTAGAATAGCAATGACAAATTAATGCACAAAACTTGGTAAACGTAGAAGGGGTGATTGTATTATTTATTTATTTTTTAAAAATTTGTCCCTTTTTCATACAGAAAGAAAATCGTCTTCCCTAACCTTAACACCTAAACTCTAAAGTTAACCCAGTTTATTGTATTATTTAATTTTTAAAAATTTGTTCCTTTTCTACATAGGAAAAGCCAAACATAAATCTTAAAATGAATAACACCTAACCCCTAAGTTAACACGGTTTATTGTATTATTTAATTCTGTTTTTTTTAATTTGTCCCTTTTTTTAAAAAAAAGAAACAAACCCCTCCTAAATTAACCCTAACACCTAATTACGAAATTTAGTACTATGCAGTGAATCAGTGGTCATGATGTCAGTAATGGGATGAATGACCAACAAAAAGTTTGATTTTTTTTTTCTTTCGATAACTCCAAAATGATAATTGTTTCTTCATAATTTAATGTACATGTACATTCACACAGAATTATGATGACTTGGGAAAATTTAAGAGAAAATTTATTTTTATGAAAAAAAAAACTGAAAAGTTTTTGAACATCATCCGTTCAGTTTTAAAAATTTTAAATTTACAGTAATTTTTGATTTTTTTTTAATTTTTATTTCATGAAATATTTTTATTTTATGCATTTATTTTAGTGTAGGTCATAAATTATTGATTACTCTATCACCTTAGTTATTAAATTTTAAAATTAATGTAAGAAAATTTTATATTGTTTTAAATTTTATTATGTTTTCGTAAGGCATCTTCAAATGTAACTAAAAGTCAATAAAATAATTGCTGAAAATAGGTTAATTTGTAAAAATTACTAGGTAGTTAAAAAAAGCGTTCATGTAGATTTTGCAAATTTATGTCAATTTTGATCAACTATACTAGTTGTCAACACCTTGGAAATATCGATAACATGAGAAAATAATTCACCCATTTATTAAAAAATGCTTGTGTACTATTTTTTTATGCTATAAGTAAGTAATATTTGTTTTCAAATCAGATTAATTAAACTTTAAATTTGCTAATTTTACTCAAATAACGTGTCACAAATATATATTTTATTTTTTTTTGACTTTTTAATCGATTATTATATTTTATTTTAAAAATTTTTTCAAATGTAAGAAATGGCCACTAGTAAACAAACAGATTTTTTTCAAATCGATCAAATATTGACATTCTAATCTATATAATTTTTATTTGAAATACACAGTACATATACAGTATTTTTCTGAAATAGTCAATTTTAATCCTTTAGCTTTCAGTTAAAGCCAAAATAAAATCTTCAAGAATGCATTTTCAATTTTCATCTTTAAAAATTCATTGTAATGTAATGTAAACCTTATTTTATACAAATATGACTGCAATTTTGAAATTAATCCCTTTTTTGTTCACAATTTTTCTTAAATAAATAAAAACATATCTGAAAAATCAAAAGATGTAAAATTTAATGCCATTTTCAAATCTTTTGAACATTTTTTAAAAAAATGCTTTCATTTTATTTTTTCATTTACAGCAATTGTTAGATTATTTTTTGTATAAAATTCACTGAATGTTTATTGGGTCTCAGGTTCACTACACATTCAAATGCAATACATTTTGATCAAATAAAATATTTATTGCTTTAAGATAAATGGAAAAAAATGATTGGTACATTCTATTGTTCCATGAAGTTTGACTTCTGTCATATTTTATCTTTTAAAAGAGTCAGATCAAAAAAAAAATGAAATATTGTGATATGTTTATTAGATCTGCTCAGTCATCATTTCCAGCCTTTTAACAGAGCTCAAAATTGTCTATGTGGTCTTGTTAGATTTAAGAGACTTATTCTCCACTCTAAAAAAACTCTTTTTGAACTGTTGCTTTGTGTTTACAGCTTTCGGATGTTTTAATCTGATCAATTTATGCCTATATGTGCCTAGTTTTTATAAAACAAAGCAGATATAATTAAATATATATATAAATGTTGAAAAAATGTAAACTTTATTATTAAAAGCTGTCAATATCAGAATTAGAGCTAACATATTTGGTTGGATAGATGTGAGTTTGTGACCCTGGGTTTCACGCTTTAATCATCGTTTCAACAAACTGATTAATGTTTTTAAAAAATTGGGTTTATGTAGATTAAATATTAGTGTTATTGTGAAGTTTAATATGAAACTTTGTTGTTTTTATTCATCGTATTTAACGCAAAACATCGATGTATGCAGACACATATACATACTTGGTCGTCCGTCGGGACTCATACATATATAAACATATGTGGGCAGTTTGGATATGACATATGTATGTATATATTAGTGGTTTGGTTATCACTATATATATGCATTTGTATGTTGAAATGTTGAAATTTAAAACATTGGAAGTGTGGGCGGAAATGTCTCGTTAAATGTCTTGAATGTATACATGTCATATTATGTATTTTTTTTTTGAAAAAATATTTCCTTTCATGTATGTATATATGTGTGGTGG